ACGTTTTGGTTTGTAAAAATTTTGAAAATTATAATTTATAAACATTATAAAAGTAAGAATCAAATATTTTTTTAAATACAAAACAATAATATTATAAACTAAAGATTATGAAAAAAAATGAGGGAAACGCGGTGTTTTCATTCTATTAAAATTTATAGTTTTATTATTGTTGTCATTAGAATTTTTTAATTTGCACAAAATTTCTGGATTGAGCTGATTAATGCGCCACCAACCTGGCACACATTCAAGAATTGCACTGCTTTTTGTGATACAGCCACCCTATCGGTAATTTAAATTTTATTTTTCTTTTATGATAAATCTCTTAAAAAAAAATTAATAAAAAATAAAAAATCTATATATTAAAAAATTTGATTTTCAACGCGTCTGTCTATGGCGCAGTTCTTTTATACAGTATTTGTTCTGTACAATGATGTAAATTGGATACGCACAGTAGGCGCAGCGCTCTTTAAAATTGTCACAGCAGATCCTCGATTTTGATTGGTTAATGGCTGTGATCTGCGAAATTTTTGGCCTGCATTACAAATTGTTTACTAATTCCCGCGCAAGAATTAGCTTTTGGAAAATTTTGAAAATAAGCTCGTACTTTTGTAAAATCGACCTAGGAACTATTTTAATTTAATAGGCGGTTGTGATTTCATTAGTAAAATTCCGAGTAATTCTGGCCTAATTTTTTTGATCGTCGCTCTTAGCCAATCAAAATCGAGACAATTTTTGCCGAACAGTAAAAAAAAAAAATCAAGAATCTTTCGTTACAAATTTTGATGATTATCTATTCAAAAACCAGTAAATTTACTTTGTGCTATAAAAATTACTTTAAACGATACAACACTAGCGGAATGTTATCCTATGTTATTTCAGCATTACATTTAACACAGTATTGCATAGCATTATAATATTTTAAATACAAGAGTATTCAATTTACCAAATTACTTCTACCGCCAACACTAGTTGAAAATGATAAGCGATTTAAATCTGAAAATTCTAAATAGCAAATCCATGATTTAATTATATTATTTAAAAACACGATTTTTGACGGTTGCAAAAAACTTTACAGTTAAACGATAGATAAATAGTTATTTTAAGATAACTTCGCACTAATATAATAAATTTTAATTTAAAATTAAATATTATCAATATTATAAAAAATCTGTATTAAATTATGAATTAATATATTTGTAGCTACGGCTATACGTAGCCGTACTATCAAATATAGTTTTTTTATAAAAAAAATTTGCAGCTATTTTAACATTAGAGTTATGATTAGGATAAATATTAGGATTAAATTAGGGTTAAGATTTAGAATTAAAGTAGGGTAAAATTGTGAGAAGCATTTTTAATTGAATACGGCTACATGTAGCCGTGGCTACATATAAATTTTTCCTTAAATTATTTATCGCTATTTTCTAAATGGCAGAGAATAATAATATTCTTAAAAAAATTTTTTTTTACGAATACCCAACATTGATCACATTGATCAAAGATCGATTTCTAACTTGAAATTCAGGTATTCGGGCATTCGCAAATATATATATATATATATATATATTGGAATATTATCATTCTTAGACGTTTATCCGTATTTGAATTATCCGGTCGGATAAGCAGATCCGATATCCGGATGATCCGGATAATTATTCGAATATCAATAGTAAACAGATATCCGCTATCTGTTTCGATCCGAACTTTATTTGGATTATTCGGATAAACGCTATCCGGATTGGACCTCTAATCATTCTCAACCATTTCGAAAAACGGCGATAATTTAATTTAGTTTATACAGCATTAATTTCTTTTGCAATTTATTATTATCATAAACTAAAATTTAAAATTTTTATTTTTTAAGAAAAGATAAATTTATAACTGCTAACATAAACAATTTTTTAGTTTTTATCTGTAAGACCTTTTTAAAACACAAAATATATGTATATGTTATTATTTCTAAAAAAAAAAAAAAAAACTTCTATTTTAACTTCGAAAATATAAGGTCTATTTTTTTAGGATGTAACAAATAACTTTTTTTTAATGGTATTTCATCAAAGTGCTGAATATTTGGAGGCAATAGAATTTCAAAATTAAGAACTATAAATAAATAAATATTATAGTAATTAATAATTATTATTATTATGTGCTTAAAAAAATTTTGTATTTTGAAAATAAACCTACGTGTTAACGCAATAACAACTTTTTGTTCCATCATCGAAAAATTTTGGCCAAGACTATGTATAAAACAAGATTATAATATATATATATATATATAACATAACTTATATATTTTATTACTTTATGTACTATATATATTCAAAAATAACATACCAATTTCTAGGTCCAATGGAAAATGGAATCCAACTATTTCTTAACTCTTTAGCAGGATTTATAAATCTTTCAGGTATAAATTTATCAGCATCATCCCAAATATCCGGATTTCTTTGAATTTGCCAGAAATTTACTGTAACTGTTACTTCTTTTGGTAATATGATATTTTTTAATAAATTCAATGGTTTAGTAGGTTTACGAGGTACTAATAGTGATGCTACTGGATAAAGGCGAAGTGATTCCATAATTATTGCTGTTATATATTTTAGATCCTATTATAGTAATTTTTAAAAAGTGAGAATTATATTTATAAAGGTAAACTTTAAAATTAAAAAAATATCTTAAGATTTTCAGAAGTTAGTAAATTTGAAGCACTTCCTAGAACATTAATTACTTCCTCTCTAGCTTTTTTTTGATATCCTGAAAAAAATGCAAACCATTATAATAATCTCAAGTAACATCAATAAAATCAAATTCAACATTATAAAAATTTCAAATTACAGGATATTTTGCTAAATAATAAAAAATAATGCTTATTGAAGTTGCTGAAGCTACGTTAAATAAAAAGTTACTGCAATGTATATTATTCAGTTAAAATTAAATGATAAAAACTTAATACTTGCTATCATTCCCGGCAACGAAATAATTAACTAGATTATCTCTAAGTTCCTTATTCGTGTAATAATCATCTTCACAGTTAGCAGCTTCTAAAATTCCAGTCAATAAATCAGTATTTTCATTTTCATTTTTTTCTTTAGACATTTCAAGTCTTCGTTGTTCAATTATTTCAAATATATAATTGTCAAACTCTTTAAGTAATGAAGAAAATTCGAAATTTCTTTTAAGAGGAAGTGAATTCAAAGATGGAAATATTAAAAAAAATGGATTATTAGCATGTTGAAAAACTTTGTTATATATATTTAAAAAGTATGGCTGTTCTTCTAGACTATCCAATGCCGATTTTTTTAAGAAAAAATTTTTAGTTAGTTTGTAAATTAAAAAGACAATGGAGCAGGGTGAAACCTGAGTTGCAACCGCTTTGTAGGGTGAAATCCGCGTTTTATGTTTTTTATTATATAAAAGCGGATTTCACCCTCATGTAATGATCATAGCGGACTTCACTATTTATATAAATACATACTTTCATATCATATGTGAAAGCCAATTTTCCTAAAATTTGAATAGTAAGACGTTTCGATAATGAAAGCACATCTATCGGAGTATCTGTCCATTTGTTTAGCAGCTTTATAAACTCATTTGTGCATTCTCCAACCATATCAGGACGAAGTACTTGATTAAATGCTGGTGATGCAACTTTTCGCTGCTGCGCCCAATGCTTTAAAATGAAGAAACTAATCAAAAAAGATGGAAAATTTTAATAATATTAAAAAAAATTTAAATTACGTCTCCATTCGACATTAGTATTCCTTTTCCAAATAAATTAGTAGATGGAACTCTGGTAGGAAATTCGAGCTTTGGAAGTGTGTGTACTTAAAAAAAGAAGGTATCTTTTAGAAATGAACTGATAATTTAAAACTTAAAAGGACAATGGATGATATATACCATTCTCAGAGAAAAATGATTTAGCATATTCAATATCAGTTATATGAATTGTCCAACCATAGGTAAAAATCTAAAACATTGAACAAGTATTAACTTTTCATAACGATAAAACTTATTGATAAGATTAAATTTTACTAACTTTCACTAAACCAATCTTATTAGGATCAGATTCACGAATAAGTTTTTGAATTTCAAGTTGTCCTCCATTACTCAACAAAATTGAAAAGTATTTAAAGAAAGAAACTGTTGGGATGAATTCCAATTCTTTAGGAGGTTTATTAATTCTACGTATAAAGTAGAATAATAAAGACGAAGCTATGAAAATCAAATAAAGCCAGAAAGCCATTTGTAAAAAAAAACCCCCTTATAATTTTGAGCGGATTAAGTATTGGAAAGGTGGATCAGTGGTGGCAATTTTTAGAGTTCTGTAGATTATGAGATATTGAAGAATTCGCAGCGAAACTCGTAGCTTAATTTTATGTGTGATATTCTGTGTTTTTATTGGTATAGCACTTCGTATTAATTTACTGATCATTTCCCGATGATTTCTGCATTTCACGGAATGCCGCAGAAATCACGGAATCAAGCCCTAAACACAGAATGTGTCAAGGATACTGTAGCTAATATTCTTTCATATTGTATAATATTTTAGTTGATCATCAATTAAATTTAAAGTCCACTATGCTACTCTCGATAGGTTGTCTAGGTGTACATCTATTTACCTATCAAGATGTTAGATGAATATCCGATGATCTACCCTACTCGGCCAATTAAAATTAATCACACATAATTTCGTTATGTGCCCTAACGCTTTTACAATTTTTTTAAAAACTTAACTGCTTGTATCTTAATGTTTACACAATCAAATTCATTAAATTTTTTTTTATTTTAATTTTACACATTTGTAAAATTAAAATAAAAAAAATTTGGTCAAATTTGGTCAAGTAGATTCGGAGATATATTTAGCTAAACTTAAGAAAATTTTAGAATATCTTAAAAAAAAAATCACGCGATTAAGCTTTGATTATCCTTGATCAACTTCGATAAAACACTTTAATAAATGACCTTTAACTGGTCAACTATCTGATGATCTACTACTACTCGGACAATTAAAATTAATTATGGGAATATGTATGCATGAAAAAAAAATCGTATACAAATTTAGTTGTACCGTACATTCGTTTTTGCAATTGTACGTACTATTCACTATTAATTTAATAATTTAGTAGTTTGGTATGCTTAATATTTTATTATTGTTAATAGGACAGTTCTTAAAGCACAAGACGAAAGGTGAAAATTCGTTTCATAAAAAAATATAGTGATATGAAATATCTTATGCTCTTATATTATATGGCATTATTCGTTTAGATTAGTTGGTTGTAGTGGTTCTAAACTAAGAAAGGTGCTTATAAATAAGTTTTTTTTTTTTAAAATACTTTACTAATTATCTTCGTTGTGTTTCAATAGAATAATTGGTTCCGTTTAACTCAGAGCCAGGGATAGGACAATTATCATATAATGCTATTTTAGTTTTTCTTTTTATTCCTGAACTTACAATTGCCTCTAAATCAGCACTAGTTATTTGATTTCTGTCTGCCTGATCATGTTGGTCCCAAACTTTTCGAATTGCACTTACCCAATCTTCAAAAGAAATATTATCAGCAACATTTGTAGGTTCAGATTCTCCTACTTGTTGGAAAGATGATATTTCAGGTGCTGGCACAGGGTAAAATTTTTGGCATATAGCAAATATATGCTTGCATGCAATTCCGCGAAACTTAAAGTCCAGACATGTGCATTCTAAATACACAGGTTTTATGTTGATTTTTTCTTGTATATCATCCTTAATATTAATCTCATAATTATCATCATTATTTGTAGATGACTTTACAAGATAACATCGTCCACCAGGCATTGCAAAACTTTCTAAGTCTAACCCTGCAAGTTCTCGACGCCGTTGTTCTTTTTGGTGAGGCTTCATCCTTCCAATCATCAGATTGACAGCTTCACACTCAAATTCTGCATCTGTTAGGGCAGCTCGTAAAATCCAAATTAAAGTGTCAATTCAATAATTTTGTTTGGCACCTAGGTATGTATATTTAAGTTTTTTGTGCCATGCTTCAACAAAATTAGTGGTATTCATTTCTTGATGCTCATATAATCTATAGGCATCAACCCACTTTTTATAATTTTTATAATATTCATTTTTTATATATTCTACCCACACTGATTCGCCTAATTCACCCCAACGAGAAAAATATTCATTAAATTTTTGTTGTACTTGTGAGACATCACGAAATCGCATAATAGTACTAAGCTCTTTAAAGCAGCTTTCTGTGCTACTTGCTTCTTTGTTTGTTTAAGCGTTCCATCATCACGTGCTTTGAAATGGTCACCATCAGCTTTAATTTTGCCCTTATTTTTTTGCCAGGCATGTTTTACATGCCATTGACAAAGCAAAATTTTTGCATTAGGAAAAACCCGACTTATAGCGTTTTGCTGTATATCATCACAGTCTGTTAAAAAGGTATGAGGCGTCCAATTTGCATTATGATTTCTTATACTTGTGAGCCAAAAAATTAAAGTTTCAGTTGCTTTTTTTTCTGAAATTAGATACACTACAGAAACACCTTGCCCACCAACATCATCTCGTACGATTATGGTAAAAAGATTTGTTTTATGTGCTGTTATGCCATGTGTTCCATCCAAACACACGGTTTGAGCACTTTTATTATTTAAAATTTTCTTTTAAAATTCTGTTTGGAACCCGTATAGATAATCTAAATCTGAGCCCCAAGTTAAATTACTACAGGTATATGATCCGTCTTCTTGAGACAATGCAATCCATTCATTAATGGATATATTTTCACCATAACTTTGATTATTATTACCTAAGAAGATTACACCTTTCATCTCTTTATAAACTATATTATATACATCAACATAAAACAAATATGCATCTTGTTTTTGGATTAAAGGCAAAGAGCTTAAGTTATCATTATCATATAATCTGTTAACATGTTGGTGGAACATTGACACAATTTGTGCAGGTTTTAATCTGTCTTTGGCTCTTTCTTTGATCCATTCTCTTGCTTGTTGAGATAAGCGAATATTTTTTAGATCTTCATTAGTTCTAGGAAAATGCCCATTATGAAGAACATAATGCTTAATACAAACAGAGTTACTCTCTGTATTACGATGTTTCAACACTTTTAAGTAGAATTTACATCCTACCTTTTTAGACAGCTTTTGAATTGGACGAGAATTATTATGGCCTGACGAAGATGCTATAGTTTGATCAAGTTTAGGTTTAGCTCTTGGTTTTCCAGCACAATGACATAGATAAGTATCATTTAGCTCATAATCTCGATTATTTCATCTAAGTTGCCGAACATAATGGGCTCCTAAATATTAAGAAGATCATTTTTGATCCATTCCTCATAATTACTCAAATCAAGATGATTATATATTTTAATGTGGTCATTTTGGTCACTTTCATTTTCACAATTAATTACATTTTCATACTCGATTTCATTTTCAGGATCAATTTCATTTTCGTAATCAATTTCATCGATTATATCTATGTGGTCAAATTTACCAGACATGGTAATAGTTTTTTTTTTAAATAAAATTAATTTTAATAGATGCGAAATTACAGAAAAACCTAGGCTAATGATAATTAATTTCAGTATATAAGAAATTACAAAGATAAGCAAATGATAATATGAAAGGATGATATACCACTATCAAATTGCCTCTTTTATAAGGTTTGGATATTATGAGTAAAGAACTGTTTATACTAATATTTGAAGGTATTAGCATGCAACAGAAGTATTTTCAAGTTACTTTTTTTAATTTTTATTCTTGTTATTTTCACGAATTTGGCATGCATTTACGATATTTATAGGCTTAGAATTAATCAATATATGCATTTTGTCAAGATTCATATTTAATATATGAGAACGCATAACGAATATAAATTTGTAATAGAAATATCATCTGTAAAATAAAAAAAATACTAGTTTCACAAAAAAAAAAATATAAAGAATTAAATAAATTATAAAAATAGTTATTATTTTAGATATATTAAATAACAATAAGCAGAATTTATTAATTTTAAATGCATGATACCAATCTTAAAAATGCTCTTCGTTATATTAATTTAATAATAAATTATTTAATAAATTATGTATTGTTAACTGCATATCGCATATGTATTGCATACTATACTGCATTACTTTTGAATTTTCAATTGCATTATGATATTCGATTTAGAAGCACTAAATGCATAATTTTTAATTTTTTGGCAAAGTTCTAAATAGCATCACAAATTATAAATAATGCTACAAATCAGAAATAAGTTTAATATTATTCAAAATGATATGAAATACATAATATCACGAATAAATAGGATTATTAGATTTTTACTTTTATTTGTAAATCATTATATATAATTAAAGAAACTAATACAGTCAGACCTCTTTAAATGCACCCTCTATAAATACACACCCTCTCTAAATGCACGCTCAAGTGCTTACCCAAATATATACTTGACCTCTATAAATACACTTTTTCTTATATTCTCTATATGCACGTTATTAAAGTGTGGTCCCAAGGGCATGTGCTTAGAGAAGTCTGACTGTACATTTTCTTAAAGTATGTAATCAGATTCAAAATTTTATTTGATATTCTAATATTGTTGCACCGCTTTTGTAACTTTGAAAATAGGCAAAATGTAATTTAGAACTACATCTTGCCAAGTATAATTATTGCGAAGAGACTGTGTTAATTTAGTTGACCAGTTAAAAGGTCATTTATTAAAGTGTAAAAAACTTCCAAGAATTCACAAAATAAAAGTTTTATCGAAGTTGATCAAAGATATCTTTTATCAAAGCTTGATCGCGTGATTTTTTTTTAAGATGTTCTAAAATTTTCTTAAGTTTAGCTAAATATATCTCCGTATCTACTTGATCAAATTCAACAAATTTTTTTTTATTTTAATTTTACAAATGTGTAAAATTAAAATAAAAAAAATTTAACGAATTTGATTGTGTAAACATTAAGATACAAGCAGTTAAGTTTTTAAAAAAACTGTAAAAGCGTTAGGGCGATCTACATAATGAAATTATGTGTGATTAATTTTAATTGGCCGAGTAGGATAGATAATCGGATATTCATCTAACATCTTGATGGGTAAATAGATGTATGCGGGATGTATGTTGCATTGTAGGATGTTCCAGAATCTGTTCTACTTCATTAATTATTAAAGCATCGGCACCATTACATTCACCTAATCCTGCTGCTGATAGAGTCTTGATTTTTCCATTAATTATTGTGTTTAAGTCA